CTAGTTGCACTCAGGCCGCAGCCTGGCTCACAGCCTGTCCTCACTCTGTAGCCTATTCCTGGGCTACCTTCCCCAGGACCCCATGCCAGTCAGTGTTCACGGGTAGGAGAGAGCACCTGTGTGTCCGTGTGCAGGGGCACATGTGCCAGGGAAAAGCAGATGCCCTTGGGATGCCCTGCTCTGTGCTGACGCCCTTCTGATAATAGAGGTGTCTGTGGGTTTTGAGGACAGCATCTTGTGAGTGAGGAATCGGGAGCTCTGTGTTGTAGCCCTGACCCAGCTCCAAAATATTCAGGGGCCCTGAGAATCACATCTGTCTCTGGGATTCAGTTTGGGCTAAACGTCACTACTGTGTTCCGAGACACTCCAGCAGCCATTTCCAATCAGCATCTTCCTTGTCTGGGTGGCTCCTACCCCCGGGGCCGTCAAGGTGGAGGCAAACCTGGCCAGCATGACTAGCCTGTTAACTACACTGCTAAAGACAGTGTGCCTGAGAACCGCTGTTGGGCGCTGCTGGAGCTGCAGAGGTTCAACCTGTGTCAGGCACTACTGGGCACAGGGCACAGCGAATACTGCAGCCCCAGGAGTGAGAGGCTCATGCAGGTGGGTGGCAGCCAGAGGTAAGTCGGGGACAAAGAAGGGAGGCACTGAGCCACCTAGGAAAAGCTCCAGTATGCTAGGCCCCTGGGTAGGAACCAGCACACTTCATTCATAGCTCCACTATGCCAAGCTTTCACCAAGGGCTGCCCACGTGCCTGACACCGGGCCAGCCACATTGACTGTGAAGGAGCCAGACCTGGCCTCTATCATTAGGCGAACACAGGCACCCTTCTCACTCCCTGGGCCCAAGGTTGCAAACTGGCGATCTGAGGCCCTGACTGACTCACCGTTGGGTTTGATGAGTTTTCACTGCACTTTTGAAAAACTCAAATCAGTTTCAATTAAAAGAAATTTAGCCAGGTGTGGTGGCACAACCTTTGAATCCTAGCACTCAGGGGGCAGAGGTGGGAAGAATCTCCAGGAGTTCCAGGCCAACTTAATCTACTATAGTGTATGCCAAGACAGCCAGGGCCACACAGTGAGACCCCCCCTTAAGACAAAACCAAACACGAATAAACAAACAAACATTCAGAATTAAGCTGGGCATTGGTGGCGCATGCCTTTAATCCCAGCACTTGGGAGGCAGACACAGGCAGATCCTCTGAGTTCCGAGGCCAACCTGGTCTACAACGTGAGTTCCAGGACAGCTAAGGCTATTACACAGAGAAATCCTGTCTCCAAAACAAAACAAAATTCAGAAATAGATGTAGTGGCACATGCTTGTAATCCCAGCAGGTGGGAAAATAAGGCAGGAGGATTAGAGGTTCAAGATGATCTTTAGCTACATTGTGAACTTGAGGCCAGCCTTGGGATACATTTTTAAAAAATCAGAAGTGGTAAAGATCTGGCTTTGTGATGTCTGCTGGAAAAGGAAGTCTTCCTGCTCTCAGGGCAGGGCAATATATAGTCAGGAGCCTGGACTTACCATAAATTTCCGTTTTTGTTTTTTTTTTTTTTTAATTATTTATTTATTTTTATTATATGTGCATTGGTGTTTAGCCAGTGTGTATGTCTGTGTGAGGGTGTCAGCTCTTGGAGTTAGACAGTTGTGAGGTGCCATGTGGGTGATGGAAATTGAACCCGGGTCCTCTGGAAGAGAAGACAGTGCTCTTAACTGCTGAGCCATCTAAATTTCCCATTTTTATCCCCTGATCCCTTTCAAGCTTTAAATCACCCAAGTGGCCCCTAGAGTTGTGCATGCTACAAGCTCTGCCTAGGTTCAGCTGTGTGAGCCCTGGATTGGAGGAGGTGGAGTTGTTGAAGTAATTCTACAGGGACAAACAGCACATAACTGGGACCCTTGTTTGGCCAGGGATGGCTAGTGAATATGTCTGTAGGTGAGTCCTTGAGCTCCCAAGTAAAGGGAGAGCCCTGCCCCAGCAGGGAGAAAGCAGCTGGAGGAAGGCTGCAAAGAGCACCAGGAAAAAGCAGCAAAAACAATCCACCCTTCTTAGCATTCTTTAAGGTTTCATAAATGCAACGACCAAGATTTACATTTATAACTCCTGCTAGCCTCTTAGGATAGGAGGGCAGGCAGGTATTAGAGAAAAAAATGACGCTCGGACAGGTAAAGTGACTTGCCCAGGGCAACACGGTCAATAAGTGGCAAAGAGTCTGTCTAGCCCCAAGCTTGCACTCTTCCAACAACCCTCTGCCCCGGCACTGCCTGCCTCCTCCCTGCCTAACTATGTCTTTCCTCCCCACCCCCCAGTTGTCCCAGGTGACCAGTGTCTTGCACACAGAGGCATGCCAGCACCTGAAGGTATCCCCATAGGTGGGGCTGGTGTTAGGTGAGACTAGGGATTGGGCAGCGACCCATAGTCTGGCCCTGTTTGCCACTTTGGTGTCTCCATGGGATGGCCAGCCTGCTACCACTTTCTTGGGCAGTGTGAAGCTACAGGGGGGTAAGCTTGGGCATCCTATAGGTCTTTGGCATATCTGCATCCAAACCAGCCCGGCTCGGTTCAAGTCTTTCCAGTGATGGCCCAGGGAGCGTCAGCCTGTAGCTCAGGGTTACTTGCCCACTGCTTGTGGATCTTCACTGTCTCCCTGGCCAGACAGACCCTAAGCCCCATGCCTAGCTGGGTGAATATGAGAGCAGATCGCATGCCTTGTTCCATCTGCATGGTGGCCCAATTTCCCTTATGTTCCCTGAGCTCCGTGGAGCCTTGGACTTTGCAGCTCTTGACTTGGCAGGTCCCCGGGCCAATACTTTTTGGGCCTCCTTGTTGCTGATTGTGGTAGCACTGTCTTCGGTTCAGAAGTTTGTCCTGATCCTGCAGCCTGACCTGGCCTTGCTGCAGTCGGGGTGGTGACGACAGCCGCAGTATTATTGCAAGCTCAGTGCAACCTGGGAGGGGGGTTAGGGAAGCACCCTATACTCCATGGCTTTCTGAAGGAACTGGGGATCTTCGAATCCGGCCCCAACAGCGGAAGAGAATGCTGCACCTACCGGGAAAGAGCTTCTGGGCTACTGCGAGGCTTGGAGCGCCTCCCGGAGGTTTTTCTGGACTCCTTCGGAGGGGACTGCAGAACTCCTTCCCTGGACACGGTGGCCTCACGACCTGTAGATGGATCTCCGCTGCTACCCGCAGGGGCTAGAAGAGCTGGGCGCTCACGGGGAGGGGGCTTTCGCGCCTCCCATGTACTGCTAGCACCCTGGGCGGGCGACTTTGCCCTCTTCAAGGGCTTATTGGCCAGCCTCCGGCATCTCCGCCACCAGCCGTGTGCTCCAAGCTGGCCTGCACTGTACTCGAACTACAGGAACTCTTTCCCCAACTTCGCCAACCTAGCTGCCCTGTCCTTGGTGCTGCTCGTGGGGGAAGGGCTGCTGGACAAGGTGGGCCCTGGCAGCCAGGTGGTGAAGACCGCGGTGGCTGGGTACCCGCTGTATGGGTTTGATTTTTGACTTGGCCGGAGGGAGAGTTCTTAGAGAGTGGGTGCGGGAGGGATTCCGAGGATGGCACCTCACCTTAGCTAGCCCCCCCCCCCGGGGCTGTGGAAATGGAAGGGGTCGCACAGACGATCTTAACCATACTACACCCAAGCTGACCTACTAACTGTGCCGTTCTGCTCTTCTCATCCCCTGCTCATCACCACACCTCACCCTGGACTGTGAGGAGCCTGGGCAAGTGGATAGAGGTGCTGGCTAGGGTCTGGGCAACCGTAATCCCTCTGGCCTCTCAAGACTTTGCCTTTTCCCTGCTGGACTCTTCCCTCGGTTGGCAGAAGGAAGGCTGGGTTTTAGGAACTGAGGGTACAGTGGCGAAGGAGAATGGGTCCCTGAGAATTTCCTCGCCCCACGCTTTGCAGTGTCTCTTTTCCTAAGAGATGGTGGACCAGATGACTGTGCCGGATGCGCAGCGCAGCGCTGTCTGTGTACAAATGGAGAGGTCAAGTGCACAGTGATTCCAGGGAGGTAGCAGTGGCCTCCATCCCGCGCTCTCCCTCCTGGGCTGCCTGTGGGCGTCTCTGGATACAGCTGTTTATAGGCACACATCTACAGATGCTAAATGAGCCCGTCTGATGTTTTCAGAGGGTTAACACCCTTTCGGTTTTGCAATTACAGGACCCAAGAAAGTCTCCAATCCCCTGGATTGCTTTCTACTTTTCTTTCTCCCTTCCCTTCCTTGAAATCTGGTTTGTTGGTTCCCAGCCCTTTCCTGCCTTTGCCTCACATTGTTAAGACCAAAGACTACAAAACCACGATGTTGTTCCTGTGGGGCCTGAGGACTTGCTCGGGGTCTCACCCTGGGTGCTAGGTAGAGGCACATCCTCTGGGAAGCAGCAGGCGCCTGCTGGACACCCAAACTTTCAGAATGCTGTGGGTTTCTGTCTTTCATTTTAAATTTGTGGGTTTTTTTTTTTTTAAGATTTCTTTTATACGTAGGAGTGGTTTGCCTGCATATATGTGTAGGCACCCTGCATGGGTCCTCTGGGACCAAAGTTATGGTTGTGAGCTGCCAGGTGGGTGCTGGGAATCAAACCTCGGTCCTGTAGAAGAACGACCACTGTGCCATTTCTCCAGCTTCACGCTGTGGGTTTCTTCTCATCGCTTCTGTGAGGGGCATGGAGCCAGAAGTGACAGGGACAATTAATGAGAGGGAAGGGAGTGGGCCTTTCCCTGCACTCTGAGTGTGGTGCTTTGGGCTAAAATGGGAACACAGCACACCGTGCCCTCAGCATGGTTGTGTGTAAGTCAACCCCGGCTTCTCTGACTCCTCTCTTGGCTGGACTCCCTTTGGTGTCTATTTGGACCACTGTGTTGACCCTGTTAGCGAGAGAGAGCCACACTTCTGCCTAGTGAGCTGTGGACTCCTGACTCTGCTTCTCCAGCTGGGTTGGGCTGGAGAGAGCCCTGTGGCTCCTCATTTCAAATGCCGCCCTTCTTCCTCCTGCAGCAGGCCCTGCCTCCAGCGCCCCCAGCCCCCTGCTGGCCTCCCTGACCCTGCCCACCCGGCCTCTGCAGCCCACGCTGGACTTCAAGCACTTGCTCGCCTTCCACTTCAATGGCACCACCCCGCTCAGTCTCTTCCCCAACTTCAGCACGGTATGAGGCTGGGCAGGAGGGGGGGGAGCATGTGCAAGTGTGGGGGTGGGCAAGGAAGGTGGCTCAGCTGGCCCTAGGTGTTACCAAATAGGGACCCAGCCATCTCCCAGAGCTGAAGATGACGTCATCCCCACCCCACCATCACAACTGCCCGGAGATGATTTTTTTTATGGATGGCACACGTGTGTCTATGTGCACTTGGGTTGTGTCTTTATTATTTTACTATTTTTGTACTGATTTAGTTACGTTCATGTGGGTGGGCGCATATGCCTGTGTCTGTGCAGCAGCCAGAGGAGGACACTGGATGTCCTCGGTGATTTCTCCCTGATTCTGGAGTTCCTGTTTGCTCAGCAAGGCTGGAGACCAGCAAGGCCCAGCAATCCCCCAGCCTCCATCTCCAATGGGGCTTGAGATTACAGACCTGTTATGTGGGTGCTGGGATCTGAACCCCCCCCGGTCCTTGTGATTGCATAGCAAGTGTTCTCAACTGCTAAGCCATCCCTCCAGGACTTGAGTTATGTCTTTGTGTTGGAGCTTGTGTATCTGGAGGTCTGTGTGTGTTACGTGTGGGTGTTAATTTGTCTATTACTTGTGAAGATTTATGGGTCTGTGCCTAGGGAATTGTATATAATATGTGTGCATGTGAATCTGAGGATTTCGGGTGTCTTTGTACCTTCTCTTATGGGCTGAGTATGTATGTGTTTTGGGTGAGAGTCCATCTGTGGTTACATAATATCTTTCTGGGTCTTTCTGCTCATCTGTGAGTCTCTAACTGCCTCTAAGCACATGTGCTTGGTGTCTGTACATTTCTCCCTCGTGTGCATGTACTCACCTGTGTGTGTGGTGGGGGACAAGTGTTAAGAGTACGCCATGAGGTATGAGGAACGGCACCCCTTTTAATCCTGAACATCAAATGAAATCGTGGATGAACGCCACTCCATCCTCAGGAGACTGTCATATGCCCTCCAGGAACCTGTAGGAGCCTCTCTCATGTCACCTCCAGGGTTGCACAGATGATCCGGGGTCTATGAGACATTTGCACATAGGCCTACGGGCTTCAGCCTCTACTGTCATTTACAGACGTGTTCACTGCTCACAGACGTGGTCTCCCAAAGGCAGGTGACACTACTGTTGGCCCAGTGTCAAGACTTTGCTCTGACATCCTGATACTGGGTCTGCTGTGTCTTGGGCACAGTCCACACTGGAACCTCAGGGCAGTCTCTACACCATGCTCTCCACTCTGCCTCTGGTTTCTTCCTGTGGGAAGGCTTGGAAAGTTCCTTTTGACTAAAACAGACAATTTTTTCATTTAAATCCAACAATCAAGCCAGGTGGGTCTCTGTGAGTTCAAGGCCAGCCTGGCCTACAAAGTGAATCTAGGACAGCCAAGGCTACACAGAGAAACTCTGTCTCAAAAAACAAAAACAAAACAAAACAAAAGATTATAAAACAAAAACAAAAACAAAAAACCTAGGCCCCTAATTCACAGCATGGTGGCACTGTCTATAATACCAGCATTCTGGAGACTAAGGAATGTGTGTTAATGACAGCCCAGGCTATACAGCGAGTTAAAGGCCAGCCTGCTCTAACATAGTGAGACTCTGTGACCCCCCCCCAAAGAAAAACAAAACAAAACAAACCCCCAAAACTTAGGCTCCTAAGAAAAGACAACAGAAAAAAAATTGCTGAAGTGGCTTGACATATGATTCAGTCAGCAGAGCGTTTGCCTAGCACACACAAAGCCCTGGGCTTGATCCCCAGCACTGTGTGAGTCAGATGTGTGGGCACATGCCTTTAATCCCAACACTTGGGAGGTGGAGGCAGGAGGGACAGTTTAAGGTCGTCTACATGGTGAGTTTGAGATGAGGCTAGACTACTTAAAGCACTGTCTCAAAAGGAAAAAGAAAAAGATAAGATAATGGTGTTGCATGCCTGCAATTCCAACCCTTAGAAACTGAAGCAGGAAGACAGAGCATCCAAGGCCAGCCTGAGCTAGGGGAGACCTTGCCTATAAATAAATAAATGAAAATGAGAACAAAAAAAGAAGAAGAACGAAAGAACAAAACTTATTAATTAGGAAGAGAAAGAAAACACCCAAGTTCATCTTGCAAAAAGAAAATCCTGCTAATAGCAGGTCCAGACACAAGAGCTGGGTTGGGAGAAAGGAAATCCCACCAAAAGATTCTCCTGTGCTCAACCCTCGGGTCCAATACTGTGCTCCTTGGAAAAGAGAAAACAAAATCCAAAACCTAAGACCAGAAGGGGAGCGAGACACACCAAGGCGACCCTGTGAGCTGAGCGTCGGGCCATGGCTCCAAGCACACAGGTCACCTCGGCCATCCCCTTGGCATCTGACCGATCAAGTCTGCCAGGAAGAGGCTGTATGCTTGTCTGGGTTACAGCACAGGACAAGGGATTTCTGGGAGACTGACCACATTTTGAACTGTACCTTTCCCCAGCGTACAGGAGGAACTAAGCTCTATCACTCCCCCTCACAGATGGACCCAGTCCAGAAAGCTGTCATCAGCCACACGTTTGGGGTCCCCTCCCCTCTGAAGAAGAAGCTGTTCATCTCCTGTAACATCTGTCACCTGAGGTTCAACTCAGCGGTGAGAGGGAGTCATAGAATTGGGGCTGGGGGGGGGGGGAACAGGGCCTCCCTTGGGGCTGTCATCAGAGGAACTGGTAGCAAAGGGACTGTGCTCTGACTGCCATCCTCCCTTCTTCCTGCCCCTTCTCATACCCTGTCCTGCCAACCTGTAGCTCAGTGGGATTCCATTCTCCTCCCCTCCACTTCACACCCATCTTCCTTCCAGATGTCCCAGAGACTGTGGTATGCGCTCCTGGTCTTGACCTGAGTTGTTTACAGCGTGTACTCATGACAGCATCTTTTGAGTGTGTGGGGGGGGGAGGGGAGAAGGGGGAGACCACACTGTCCTCAAGCTCGCAGACATCTGCCTGCCTCTGCCTCCTCAGTGCTGGGATCAAAGGTGTGCATCACCACGCCCGGGTTCAGTGAATTTTCTTGTAATTGAGATAGTCTCACTATGTAGCTCTAAATATCCTGGAACCCAAACTCTGTAGACCAGGCTGGCCACAAACTTATAGAAATCTGCCTGCCTCTGCCTGACCCTGCCTCCCAAATGCTGAGATTAAAGGCACGCACCACCACACTTCATCTTCATAAACTCCCATGACGCATCTGTGAGAGGTATAGAGACATAATTACCATCTCCACTTTTCTGAGGAGGACCAGTCTCAGAATGGGTTTCTTTAAAAAAAGAAAAAAAGAAAAAAAAAAAAACTTGCCTAAGGACACAGCTGCTAAATAGCTTTGCTAGGATTTGAACCCAGCCCTAACTGAACCTGAGGTCTGCATACTCCTGCTGCAGCCTGTCCTTGGGGGGAGAGGAGGAGCCTCACTGGGGGGTTTGGGTGAGATGTCAAAACCTCTGTGGATTATCATCAAAGAGTTCAAGGAAAGGCTCTGGAGCTTTGTCTTTCCTACCTTTTAGAAATAGGAGCTGAGAAGCAAGTGGAGACTCATGGCTGAAATAGAAAGGATGCTGGCACTCCAGCTGCTGTGGTCTCTCCAGATGTTTAGGTCACATCATTCCTCAAAAAGTTGGCAAAGAAAATTGCTGAAGGGATGTGTTACCATACATAGTAATTGGCAGAATTACTGAGCCAATAGCAATGCTCAAAAGTTATTTACAAAAAAATAAGCCATGGGATGAATATTTTTGGAGTATATAAACCCAAAATACAAGAACTGCTGTGCTGGGGCTGGTGAGATGGCTCAGAGGTTAAGAGCACTGGCTGTTCTTCCAAAGGACGAGTTCAATTCCCAGCAACCACATGGTGGCTCACAACCATCTGTAATGAGATCTGGTGCCCTTTTCTGGCCTGCAGACACACACATGCAGGCAGAATGCTGTATAAATAATGAAAAGAACTGCTGTGCTCTCCATATGTGTACCCCTTAACATTCAGGAGCCCCTACTTTATAAACCAGACCCTTACAATTTGTATCCCATTTACCTTAAATGGGATACAAAGCTTAAAGCTGGGCACAGTGGTGCACACCAGTGATCCTAGTACTCAGGTGGCTGAGGCAGGAGGATCGTAAGTTTAAAGCCAGCCTGAACCACACAGTAAGTAGTCCATTTGCAAAATATCCTGTACATACAGGCAGACACTCAAGGGCATCACCTAGTCTCAACCTTTCTGGATCTGTGAACACAGAAGAGAAGCAAACAGGGCTGATGTAGCTTAGTGGAGAGTTTGCCCAGCACTCACACACACACATGATTTTTGAGTGAGGAGATTCAGTGAGGTGCTGTGACCTGTCTAAAGATGGTTACATTTGATTTTGAGGGCATAGGCTGCCTGCATTGGAGTGCCTGTGTGAGAACACATTCTGTAAACCTCAGGACTATATATGCATGTGGCAGTGATAATGACACTGACTTTAACCATTTGTGGCCCAAAACCCTATGTCCCTTTGGCCCAATATCCCTCTGGCTGGTCTCTTTCTTTGTTCAACTTCACTCTTGGATGAGGCGTGTGATCCAAGGAAGTTGACCCATCCCCTCCTTTTTCCAGAACCAGGCTGAAGCTCATTATAAGGGCCACAGACATGCCAGAAAACTCAAGGCTGTTGAAGCTGCCAAGAGCAAGCAGAGGCCTCAAAGCTTGAACCCAAATGGGACCGTGGTATCTTCAGACTCACCTCCAGCCACTGGAAGCCCCAGAAATTCACAGAGCAAAGGTAAGTCTTGAAGTCTGCACAACTAGGCTAGCTTCTGACAGTGGCTTGAGTGGCTATGGCTTTTCACCATTTTATTGGAGGGGAGGGTCTGAGATAGGGTTTTCTGTGTAGCCTTGGCTGTCCTGGATTTGCTTTGTAGATCAAGGTAGCCTCAAACTCACAGAGATCTGCTTGACTATGCCTCTCTGAGTGCTGGTCACTATCTTTTCCTCCTCCTCCTCCTCCTCCTCCTCCTCCTCCTCCTCCTCCTCCTCTTCTTCTTTTTGGTTTTTAAGACAGGGTTTCTCTGTGTAACCTTGATTGTCCTAGACTCACTTTGTAGCCCAGGCTGGCCTTGAACTCACAGAAACTGCCTGCTCTGCCTCCCAGAGTGTTGGTATTACAGGCCTTCACCACCACTGTGCCCGGCTCTTTCTTCTTTTTAAGCTTGGATTTTTGTTTTTTGTGTCTGTATGTGTGGGTGTCCATGGAACACAGAGGTCAGAGGAGGGCATAAGATCCCCTGGAGCCAGAGTAAAGTGGTTGTGAGCTGCCTGGTGTGGGCCCTGGGAATTGCACTCTATCTTCTATGAGAACAGCAAATGCTCTTAAGTGCTGAGCCATCTCTCTAGCCCTTCACCATCTTTCTTGCTGGGAAATTATTCTATATATACAGGCACAAGCAGACAGTTTTGTGCCTTCCTCAGGCTGACTTTGACTAAAACAACAGGTATGTATTTTCTCCACAATCTAGAGGTCAACGGCATCCAGATGTGGGTATGTTTGTTTGTTTGTTTGTTTTTGTTTTCCCCCCTGGGAGCCAGAGGGAATAGCCCATTTCTCAGCTAGTAGGTACACTCCTTATAGACTAAGGAAGGAGAAATGAGAGTTCCAGGTCAGCCTGGGCTTCACATCAAGTTTAAGACTAGCCGAGGTTCCATAAAACTCTGTCTCAGAAAACAAAGGACAGGGAGTTAGGGGGGCAGCTCAGTGGGTAGAGTGCTTGCATACCAAAAAAAAAAAAAAAAAAAAAAAAAGAAAAAAAAAAATATATATATATATATATATATATATATATATATATATATATATACACCCCTCTCAAAAAAACATTATTATGTCTGAGTTTACATGTGGTAGTTTTTTTCACTGCTGTGTGTTCCCCGCTGCATGGATATACCAGCATTCTCCTGTGTGATGGATATCTCCAATTTCCAGTTTTATGCTATTATGAATAATAGCCTACAAACATTCTAGCATACCTCTCTGGTAACTTCGCTTACTTAATACCTAGGAGCTAACATATCAAGCTGAGAGGGCTTCCCACTCTAAGGCCCAGGTTTGCCTGGTGAATCGGTGGCAGGGTGAACACAGAATTTAGTGCCGGCTGACCCTTTACCAGGAAGCCTTCCACCCTCCCATTCTCTCTCCATGTCAGTGCTGAGCCTCCCATCTCCTTGCAGCTCCTGCGTCCCCTCCTCTCGGCCCTTCGCATCAGCTACCGCAGACCCCAGACCCGACAGCCAGAGAACAGGCCCACTCAGACCTCTCCGATGCTGCTGCTTCCGCTTCCTCTTCTTCCTCGTCTTGCCCACCCTGCTCCCCGGGGCCTGGCAGGGAAGCACCGGGACCTGAGCCCGCAGAAGTGGATGTGGGAAATGGCGTGAATGGGGAAGGCAGGGTCGAGAAGGTTCGCCTCTACTGCCCTACATGTAAGGTGACAGTGAACTCTGCCTCTCAGCTTCAGGCTCACAACACAGGTCAGTGCTCCCCGGGGGCCATGTCATCCACTGATGGGTGACAAAACAACCCTAGACACTGTTGCTATGCATGCATTTCTGGGTCCTCTTCTTGATCCCAAGGGAGGGACACTGGAAAGAAAAGTCTGCAGCGACCAGAACTGAAGGTCACGAAGGACAGGAGTACCCTCCATCATTCTCCTCGGATCAAAACCAAAGGAAGGGCCTTTTGCCCTGTTGTTTATAAAAGGTCTTCTTCCTTGAGGGACGTCCACGGGAAACTGTAGACAAACCAGAGATGCTGGGAAGACAGAAGCCCATGCGGCTGGAGCGCCGTGTGTGTATGGAGAGGGGCAGCAAAGCTAACTTAATTTGATGCTGTGGCCTCTCTTGGGTTCTGACAGGCTGTGTTCTTTCCTTCAAGGAGCAAAGCATCGATGGATGGTGGAGGGTCATCAAGGGGCTCCCCGAAGAGGCCGGGGCCATCCTGTGTCCCGGGGAGGGGCTGGACACAAGACAAAGAAAGTGATAGGAAACCGAGGAGGCCGGCAGGGACCTAGCCCTCCTTTCCACTGTGCCCTCTGTCAGCTCCAGGTCAATTCAGAGACCCAGCTCAAGCAGGTAGGAAAAGGGAGACCAGGATAGGGTGGGCATCAGAGCAAGGGCAGAAGGGTTGATACCTTCCTCTGATGGTTGGATGTGGCAAGGCTGTCCAGAGCTGCCCCACCATCAGTGCCCATTGCCCATCATGTGTGTGCTGAATGTGAGGCCTGTGGGTAGAGGAAGTGTAAGATAGCCTGGTTAACAGAACAGTTTTGTTGTTCCTATGGTCTTCCTTATCTTGTTCCTAACCTCTGTCTGTTAGCATATGAGCAGCCGGAGGCACAAAGACCGCCTGGCTGGGAAGCCCCCCAAGTCCTCCAGCCAGCACAGCAAACTGCAGAAACACACAGCTCTAGCTGTGAGTGTCCTCAAGGTACCTGTCTCTAGGCAACGGTGTGGGGACCAGGGTCTACAAGGGATAGAGCAGGAAGAAGGGCCAGCTGAAAGACTTGGGGTGTGGCAGGAAGGAGGCTGCTGGCCCTGCAGCTGTCCCTAGTCAGGGACAGGGTTAGGGGTGGGGTTGGGCTACACCCAGAGGAATTTCCAGGAGGTGGGGTGGGCTAAGGTCATAATATGAGGGGCAAAAGTCAGAGGTGGGTGTGCTTATCCTAGAGACCGTCTCTTCCCACCCCTAACAGTTCTGCCTATCCTGAGGTTGTCCATCTGCTGGGCAGGAAGACAGGTGTCACAGCAAGCCAGCAAGCCCACTGGAATGGCTGTTTGGGGGTGGGAAGGAGGAGGCTAGACTTGGAACTCTAAAAGGCACGTCCCTGAGGCAAAAAGGCTCCTGGATATGGCCCAGGGAGGGGGTAGGCTTCTCTGGTATCGGGAAGCCTGTCCATTTCTCTCTCTCTCTCTCTCAGTCTAAATTGGCCCTGCAGAAGCAACTCACCAAGACGCTGGCAGCCCGCTTCCTGCCCAGTCCGCTGCCCACCACAGCTGCTGCTATCTGTGCCCTGCCAGGGCCCCTGGCCCTCCGGCCTGCTGCCACAGCAGCTGCCACCCTCTTCCCAGCTCCCGTCCTGGGCCCAGCTCTGTTTCGTACTCCAGCAGGAGCTGTCCGGCCTGCTGCAGGCCCCATCCTTTTTGCTCCCTATTAGTGGTCCGTCACAGAATGGTCACATCCTATCTCTTCCTGCCAGACACTTGTCTCCACAGCCCACAGAGGCTGCCGTTTGCAGTTTCCGGGTTCCCACCCAACCTGGGGTGGCTGCTTTTCACTCCGACCAGGGCTTTTCCAGACCCCTGGGTCTGAGGACCACCACTACCCTCCTTTACTGAGCCAGTCCCAGGCTGCCCTGCCTCTATGGCTCGATGAATCCCAAAGATCTATGCAAAATCACAGCCCTAGCCTCGTGGTGCTCTCATACCCCCACCCCAACCAGAGACTTACACAGAGTTGACTCTGCACCTTAGCTCCCACAAGCCAGCCTCTCCTGCCATGTTCTAGGGCTGTCTGGACAATCACTAGAGATAGGGACCTCAAACAGAGGTGGGTTGGAACATATCAGGCATATTTACCATGGGGTAGCCAGGTGTGGTGGTGCAGGCCTGTAATCCTAGCACTGGAATCATGAGTTCAAGGTCAGTTTGGGCCATATAGCTAGACACTGTCTTAAAACAAAATTAAACAGAAGTTGACCACAGGGTATGGCAAAGGACCATATAGATGAGAGGCCACAAAGTTCTTCAAAACTGTACTGTGAATGTGAGGCAGAGTTGAAGAGAAGCTCCATCTGCTCTGTGGGGATGAGGCTAGAAGTTGAGAGTGGTGTTCAGGCTGGGCCTGACTATGTTGCTCCGGTTGGTCTGGAACTATATATACCAGACTGGCAAACTCAAGAAATCCACCTGCCTCTGCCTCTTGAGTGATGGGACAAAAGGCATGCACCACCCTGCCTGGCCCCAGCGTTAACAGAAGTGACCTGTCTGACCACAGCTGTTCTTAGCCTTTCAGTGGTTTCTCTTGAACCCCAACTCTAAGTGGGGGGAGGCTCTAGGTGTCCCTCGGCCTAGGAACCTGCCATTCTACATTGGGGTCCAGCCACCCCAAGTGTGGAGCTTAGGGCTGTTACACAGTCCAAAATGCCCTCAAGATGTGCTTCATGTTGCCAAAGTCAGGGCCACCCCACTCAATATGGGACTTTGCCAGTATCTACCTGTAAATTCGTTTGTTTTTGAAAGATATTTCCAATGGGGCACAAAAAGGGGGAGGGAAACTTTTTGATAACAGCAGTTGTGGTTTTATTGTGTCCAACACATCAATAAATGAACTTCAAGCCCGAGCCTGTCGATGCCCTGACTGCCCTTACCCAGCCCTGGGCACCAGCCCTCTCTCCCCTGTTCCCGGGAAGAGGGGTGGGCATGGGAGGCGGCCTGGCTGTAGTGTCTAACTCAGGTGAGGCGTGCACATCAGAAGCACAGAGTGGCACCAGACGTCATGGGTTATAAGCTCACTTGATAGACCAAGCCCCGGGACACAAGGCCTATCAGCTCCTAGGAAGCTGCTACTGGTTTGCCTGGTTCTCTCCAGGCATCTGAGGTAAGAAGGAAGGGCTAGAGGAGCAGCTTATCCCACCTTCACCAGGGCAGCAGGCATATAAATACAGAGAATATAAATATAAGTCCAGCTACTAGCCAAAAAAAACCAGGAGGGGTGGACACTAACCCTGAGGACAGGGCTACAGACTGTGCCACTTGGGCCACTGAGCACAGAGTGCGCTCCTGCCCCCTGGTGGTTAGGAGAGGCTTCCCAGCCTCCAGGGCTGGTAGGTGTAGCACCTTGAAGAGGGTGGAGCAGGGGCAGAGACATAGGAGGCCCTAGCCACATGCCTTAGAAAATCACAGAGCAGCCAAGGCCCTAAATAATCATCCAAGCTTCTGTCAACTCACAGATGAGAAAACTGACACCCAAAGAATGACCTGGCTAAGTCACAGGGCAACTGCTCAGTCACCACTCCACTCTACCTCAGCCAATGAGACCTCTGCTCCCGGAACAGGAAGAGGAAGCAAAACAGTTGGGAGACTGGTAGAGGTCAAACAGAAAATGACACTCCCAGGAGCCTGGCTTTTTCCAGCCTTGGACAGGCCAGGGGAAAGATCAGAGTAAAGGACGAGGAACCAACCTTAAGCCAGCATGTAAAACTGTGCGCTCGCAATGCCTGGTCACGCCTTCCCAAGCCCAGGCTGGTGCTGTGTGTGTGTTACTGGCAGGAAATTCAGAGAGTTGGGATCCCTGATAGGAGCCGGACCCTGGACTGGGCACTTTGGCATGACAGCCCTGCCTCCTGAACCAGGCAGATGGGAGAGACACTAACCCATGAGTGTCCAGGTGACAGGAGAAAATATGCTGTGAGCTGGGAGTGGGGCGGGGACTATTATGGAAGGCTCAAGGGGAGGGCCAGTAATCGGGTTCACTTGCACTTCTTGGAGTTAAGAGAGGACAAGAGTGGCACTGGCCTGGGCCAGCCAGGTCTCCTGGCTTAGAGGGCCGTTCCCTACTCACTGGGAAGAACAGCCTATGCACCCCTGTGCCCTCAACCCATCCTGGAATGGGGCTGGAATGGTGAAGAAAGAAGGGCAGCTCTTCAGCCATCCAAGGAGCCACTGCCCTTGTTCTTGCGGCTGAGGGGGAAGGCAGACTTGCTCTGGGGCTGGGTCATCTTGCTGGCCAGGTAGATGAAAGGCTCCAGGAGGGAACGGCGGTCCGCCACTGAGACCTCCCATAGCTTCACCTTCTCTGACTTGGCCCAGTGCTGGGCCACGTCAGGGTCCACACGACGCTGCTCCTGTAGGTCACACTTGTTGCCAAGGACCACGATGGTGACCTGCAGAAGAGAGACAAGAGTAGGAGCTGGAGGTGTGCAGTGGCTCAGGATCGGGAGTGGGTGTCAGCTGTTTCTGGCCAACAACTGGGAGGATGCAGTTCCCAGAGGCTAGCAGCTCACAGAATTTTGGAGGACTGGCAAGAGCGTGGAGCCACAGGGAGGAGAGATTAGGAGGAGCTTCATATGTAAGGAGGGATCCTATTAAACCAAAGAGAAGTCTCTTTGATCAAACTGTCCTATCATACAGCCACCTCTTGTGTGAGTTGAAGGCCCTCACTAATAACCTTCGTGGCCTTCTAGCTCCTAACCTACCTGGGGCTAAGTGAGCACAACTGGGAATCATGGCTGCATCCCAAGGCCTGCCACGATCCATGCTTTCCTACCCCTGGGCTCCCGGCGGAAGTCCAGAACATGTACCTCCTTCTTGTCCTTGGACTTGTCGATTTCCTTCTTGAGCAGCTCGACGCGCTGAAACGATTCTCGGCTGTCTGTGCTGTAGACCAGGACGTAGCCATCAGTGCAGGAGAAGCAGTGCTTGGGCAGCTCGGCCCCATCCCGGAGACCCCGCGTATCATAGAACCGCACCTGCTCCCGCACCCCTCGGTCTGTCTCGATGGAGCCTACATAGATGTCCTCCTGGGTCTCGGTCATCTCAGAGCCTGGGTTGAGATGAGATTTTGATTATGAGTCGGGAGAGATGGGAAATGTGAGAGACGTCCTCGCAAGCCGACCAGACGCGGAGCATGAGGAAATGTGGGCGCTCGGGAGAGACCAGACTGGAGTGTTAGAAAGGAACGACTTGGGGAATGAATGTCATGTCATTGTTACATGATGCAAAGGGGCGTGGGTGTGGTGACACACAACCTTCAATCAAAGCTCTTGGGAAGTGGGGCGGAGGCAGGTCGATCTCAGTGAGTTCTGGGCCAGTCTGAACTGTATAGTGAGGCCATCTCAAAGAACAACAACAACAACAACAATAACAACATGGGAGAGTGGTAGAAGCGCCCCCACATCCATCTCTGGCCTACACACCTCTGCACAGTATTCACACATGAGCATGCATGCACACGTATGGATACCCACAAACAGAAGTGCTATGTAGGGTGTTTGTTGTTTTTCCTTCTAGATTTGTTCAGTGTTACAGAACTGGGGAGTACAAAGCTTTACTTTTTTTTGCTCAGTCACTGGGGTGCAAACCCAAGGCCTAGTGCATATCAGACCAATGGCTCTAACAGTCAGCCATGCCTCCGGCCCTAATTTTGGGGGTATAAAAGCAGCTGGTACCCTTCTTAGCCTTTGTGTTCCTGATGTGACCGAATCCTATTGCTTTATTCAACATCTTCCACCAGTCTGCCGGTCCCAGCAACACTCACCCACAACATGATTCCCGTACAGGAGCTGCTCAAGAATTGAGGTTTTGCCCACAGATGCCTGGCCACACACGACCACCTTGCAGCTCTTCCCCATGCTTAGCTTTCAACCTTAAAGGACAGAAGCAGGGTGGTAAGGAAAGACAGAATCCAAACAGCACACTGGGGAAGCATCAGGGATTTAGCACCACCCTGACGTGTTTACCTGAACTACTGAGCACTGAGCTGTAATTAACCTTCTTGTCCTAGGAGTGGCCAGTATTTGGCACACAGCAGATGTGGGACTAATGGCACCATAAAGGGAGAGGCCTAAAGAATGGTTTAAAAAACAGCTGTCCAGGTTCTTTCCTGTACACAAGATATGGGGCATCAATTACTGAAGAAAGTACTCTAGCTTGTTTGTTTGTTTGTTTTATTTTGGGGGATGTTTTGTTTTGAGACAGGCTCTCATCAGCTGGCTTCCAGCTGATCGAATAGTTGAGGCTGGCTTTAAGCCGATCCTCTCGCCTCCACCTGCTGGGATTATAGGCATATGCACACCAGGCTGTTTTTCTCCCTTTAACCATGACTCCCATGAAGAAAAAAGCAGGAAAATTAAGATTTGTCTTGTTATCCTCTCCTCAGGGAGAGTGCGCAAATAGAATTAACTTGCTTTCTTGAATGACAAATTTGCTGACAATAAATTTCCGTCTAACCATTTACCCGTCGAATTGACGGGTAAAATAAAGAACATCAGACATGAGTGAAGGAATCAAAGGAAAGGTGCTTCTTAAAGATGGATTTGACTGGCCCCGGGACTTACAGGCACAGACAGAAAGGTCAAATTTATAAGAGAGGTCTTTCTGAAGGGAAACTTCAAAACACAGGCTCCTGGGGAGCTCCAGAGATCTCCACTCCCCCCGCCGCCCCCCGAAAAGCAGAGATCCAAAGGAGTGCCTCAAAGGGGTCCCAAGCAGAAACCTCTCCAGGAGAGTCTCTTACACCGATCTCCACCCCATGGTCTGAGAGTTTTAGTAAACGATACTCGAGAGGCAGCCAGAGGCCGCCGCCACAGACTTCCCCTGAAGGGCACACGTCAGAAACTATCAGAGGCAGAGAAAGGACAACCAAAGTGAACCAGGGGGCAGAAGCCGATCTGAGCCCCGCCTCCCAGCTCCATACCTCCGGGGTCCCCGCAGCACTCCCGCTGAGGCGCCCCCCGGAGTGGGCCGGACCATGGGAGGGGCAGTTCCACTGTAAGGACGCCCCTCTTTCTCTGGGTGGAAGTACTTTTCCTGGAGACCCGCCCCACAACGTCCGGCCTTCAAGACAACTTCCGGCGGCGCAAAGTGAGCTCCGGTCGCACAGCGCCCCCAGAGGCGGGCGGAGGAACGCCTGCCAAAACTTGTGGTGGTGTCTGGTTGTGTACAAAGCTAATTTGCCAGGCTCTGATACTGAAATGTTCTCCCTCTAAAGGACAGTAACGTTTCGTTAACGCTAGCATCTATTCGACAAGTCTTCCTTTTCTTTCCTTGGCAGCACTATGTTATGACTGTAACCTAGGGTCTTATACATACTAGGCAAGTGCTCTTTGAACCTGGATTTTTGATTTTGTTTTTTTGAGACCGCATTTTTTCGTGTAGCTTTGACTATGTCCTCTCACTCCGTAGACCAGGCTGGCCTTCAGACTCACAGAGATCCACCTGCCTGTTTCCTGAGTGCCGGGATAAAAGGTCTTCAACACCACACTCGATAAATCTGGGATTTTTTTGAAGCCAGAGTAGATGCTCACATTTGTATCCCAGCACTTGGGAGAATGAAGTGATTTTGAGTTTGAAGACAACATAGTCTACACGGGGGGTTGGAGGGAAGCCTCAAGCATCTATTTTGTCTTGTCTGTGCCTTGTGTGGGGCCATATGCAAAGGAAAGGCTACAATTTAAACAGGATGATTGCCCCTAATCTAGAATAATCAGACAACCATACCAACAATTACAACAAACCATGATGAATGCTATTACTGAGGTGGGGTGCTATGGGCACGACAGAGGAGCATTTAACTTAGGGGCAACAGATAGCAAAGACAAGAAAGGAGAGGGGCATGTCTGTGTTCAAATCTGAAGGGCTAAAGAGGCCAGAGATTTCTAAAGCAGAGGAAATACAGCAAGAACCGTGCCATTTCTGCCGCTACAATCCCTGGGAGTTCAACACCGACTGAAGAGAGTAGCCAAGGAACAAAGATGTGTGGCAGGCCAGAGATCAAACTCACAGTAATAGAAAGCCATTGGTAGGTTTATACCAGGGAAATGAAATAATCCATCCACTTTTGCAAGGAAAGTCATTCTGTCAGAAGAGCCAAGGCTTGACAGAGGTGAGGCTGAGGGTCAGTTAAGAGACTATTGTAGTCTCAGAGTTTATTTATTTGCTTTTAATGGCAAGATTTTGGCATGAAAAGGAGATTTAGGGATGTGTGGCAGGAGATTCAAGAACTGTTGATGATAGACTGCAAGTCAAGAGCAATACTGAGGACTGCATGATTTACCCTCTGTTTCATGTGGTGGCCAGTTGAACAGATGGATATATACCAACATAAGATATTCAGGAAGAAATACATTTTTTTTTTTCTGTGGTTGAGAAGTGAGTGCAAGGCTCAATAAATGGGTTAAGGCAGTGGTTCTCACCCTATGGGTCATGAATTTTTTGGCAAACCTCTACCTCCAAAAATATTTTTTAATAATTTTTATTTTTTTAATATTAATGACAGGTTATTTACTTTGTATCCCAGTGGTAGCCCCCTCCTTAACTCCCTTCCAATCCCATCTTCCCTCCCTCATCTCCTCCCTGACCCTATCTAAGTCCTCTGGTAGGAAGGAAGACCTCCCCTTCTTTCATCTGACCCTAGTTTATCAGGTCTCATCAGGACTGGTTGCAATGTCCTCCTCTGGGCCCTAGCCACTGAATTCATGTCAGAGACAGTCCCTGTTCCCCTTACTAGGAAACCCCCTTGGATGCTGAGCTGCCATGGGCTACATCTGAGCAGGGGTTCTAGGTTATATCCATGCATAGTCCGTGGTTGGAGCGCCAGTTTCAGAAAAGACCCCTGTGCCCAAATATATTTAGTCTGTGTGCCTCTCCCGTCCAAAAATATTTACATTACGATTCATAATTGTAGCAAAATTACTATTATGAAGTAGCAACAAAAAATAATTGAGGGTCACTACAACATGAGGAACTGTACCAAAGGGTCACAGCATTTCTATCCACTGAGCCCCAACAATCAATCAGAGTCACTAGCAGGTGACCCCCCATGGGTTCAGCTCTCTCAGTAATGATAAAGACTTACAAAACAAGTTAGGACCTCCACACAGTTTTCCCTTAAGGGAAAGGGCCAACTGTATTAAAGGAGTTGGGGATGTAACTTTGGTAGAGGACCTAGCAGGCATGAAGCCCTGGGTTTTAGCTCCAGCACCACATAAAAACAGGCACAGAACCAGATGCCTGCAATGCCTACACATGACAGGCAGAAGCAGAACGTAAAAAACAAGTTGGTCCCTGAATTAGACTGTAGACTGTGAGCTGAGCCACAGGGCACAGGCAGGGCAGTTGGTGAGGTTTTTGCCACACCACGCCCAACCAGCAAAACAGTGCAGGTAAGGGCTGGATGACCCCTTCACTTCAGTGAACCTCAGCTACCATTCTCTATCCAGGGGCCCCTGTGGTTTCAGCTCTCTCAGTAATAAGGACCTACAAAACAGGTTAGGGACGGTCGCACGCAGTGCTGTTTAAACTCCACTGTCATCTTATTTTCGTTCTTTTTGGCTTTAAATTACAACCTCAAAGCCGTCTCTTCCTCCCATTTAACCTCAGAGGGCCTCAGCTTAATTCAACTCCACAACAACACTGTTGGGTATAGCAGCGGTACTACAAAGACGATTAAGCTGTCTTCCCGATGCAGACCGCATTTGGCCAGACAAGCGTGCTGGGTAGTTTACGAGGAAGTAGGAGTATAGGGGACACTAAGGAAAAGGGACCTCACCCCATGAGCTGCCTTATAAATCCCGGGGCAGGGGCTGGGGCGCCATGTCATCCTCTCTAGGCTTAACGCTGAGATGGCACTCCCAAGCGGCTGACATGAAAGCGGCCGCATAAAAGGGTCCGCGTCATTAGGGTGATGAAGCAGTTGGCGCTTGGAGATCCGTGAAGGATGAAAGGCGCAGGGTGAAGACGCCCTGCGTTCCCCTCGCTTGGCTGGGCAGGGCTTCCAGGCACCGATGAAAGCTGGGGACTGGGCTCAAAGTAGCTCTTCATGCCTTTCCGGGGAGGAAGCTGTGGACACACTCCAAGGTCGGGAAGGTAGTCGTCGAGGGCTCTTCCCCTCGAGAGCCTTCGGTGAGCCCATCTCCACACACCCGGGATTCCCAAGCCTCGCAGGAGACGCTCTAGGACTGCGAGTTGTTATGGCAACAAGGCGGTCAGGCTACTGAGGCAAGCCCAGGTCTAGAGAGGCAACATCCTTCTGTACCCTCCTCCCACCCACGGGGAAAGTGGCGCCCCCTACGCACAGGAGCCGCCCCTGGGCTCCGGCCCCAGCGCGGAGACCACCTTGGACCTCCAGGGATGGGAGGCCGCTCTGGCCCCAAGCGGAGCCTCTCGTTGGTAGACGGGCTCGCGGGAGTCCCTCTGGGCGCAGCGCAACCCAGCGGCTTGATGCTCCGACCGGAAGTACTCTTCACGGCCTGCCTCCCACCCGGCTCTCTGGTCCCGGCGGTAAGATGGCGGCTGCCGCGGAGTGCGATGTGGTAATGGCGGCGACCGAGCCTGAACTGGTGGAGGACGAAGAAGCAAAGAGGTAACCAAGGGCTAGAGTTATGGAGGAAGGGAGCTTGCAGCTCGTGGCTTGGGGAATGTCGACTCGGCAGCCCCCAAAGGTAGAGACGGTGCGTCTCCTCCTGCAGACAACCCCCCACCCCACACAGACTTCAGGGCCGGACTCGACAGAGACCCCCTGAAGGGGCACGCTTGGGGGGTCGGTTCTCCCCTTCTGCTTCCGCCAAGTGGGGAGCCGCGGCGTGGAGGGTGGCCTTGCTCTGCCGCGGAGAGAAAGGTCGTCCTCATGGTAGAGGCCGGGTCTCCGAGGGGGACTCTCAGAGCTAGGCTGCAGGGTGGGGGAAGCGTCGCGGCGGCGATGACGACTTCCTTAACATAGCCCCGGCCTCCGCCTGCTCTGGTTAACGTGTGCATTGTTATCTGTCCTCACTCTACGTCTCCAAGAGTCCTCATTCTCCTCCTCACTTCCTTTTCCTCGGTAATTACACTTAGTGGTCATTACTGTGGGCCCGAGGGGATGGTAAGCCGCAGCATTGACCATGGTCGCCCCCTGCTTACGGTAGAAGTTAAAAATGGATAGCCAGAAAGACGGAGGAGGAGCCTGTCTTCTTGCTGTACGGGTCAGACGCTTCTGCACCATTCTTCCCAAGACCGTTCCTGAACTCAAGGAGGACAGCTGTTTACATGCAGTTGGGACTGCTGGGCAGCCGCAGTATGCGAGCTTGCCAGTCTGGACTAGCCTAGGGAGCTGCTGAGTGAGTGGTTTTCTAGAACACTCTGTGAATTCTGGCACCAGCTAAGGACAGGTTTTTGAAGCGGGATTGGAACACAGTTGCGAGCGAGCGCTTGTTCTGATATCAAAGGTTAACCGAGTCCCTTATCGGTTGCAGATTAATTTGATCCTTTGTTTAGGGTGGACTGTACCGTGCCCTTAGTCTCCCTCCCGTGTGCTTCCTATGTTCATACCTAGCCTGGACGGGTATGTCTTCAGTCTGAATAATTTGAGATGGTGAGTGAATCAGTTCAGGAGATCTAGAAATCAGGATTCTGAGGGTTTTACTATCTCAGCTAGAAGTATAAGCGGGTACTCGGGGAGCCACGGTTAGTATTGTAGTTATCAGGTATATGGGCAGTACCCGATTTGGAAGCTGAGAGGCTTGACAACATGTGTTAGTTGATCCCTGAGACACCAGTCTAGTCTAGGCTCCTTCGTGTTGAGTTTCCGCAGGATTGCAGTGTTTAGAGTTAAGCTCACGTGTATCTTAAGGAATTGCAAAATGAGAAGGGAAGCCCCTCAATAAGAAAGAGCTTAAATTTATTTTACTTGTATTTGGAAAGAATTAGTGTGCTTCTCACTGCTATAAATAGGGACTTTGGCCATTTGTCACTTAGGGAATCTACCCAGCTCGGTGTAAATCTGCTGTAGAGAGTGTTCCTTGCTTGGATGTTAGGCAGGCCTTGCACTCAGAGAGCCATCCGTCTGTACACCATTGTGCTTGACTAGACTTCACTTCTGTGTCCCCTCTCTAAAGCAAACCCTTCTCCCTGAAATGAAATGAAACAGCTTTATAAAGAGAGTGTTTTGTCATAAATGGTGGTGAATGATCATGGGGAGATGTGGTGAGAAACTTGAAGACTGAACGTGGTGGCGCACATCTGTAATCCTCGCCCTTGGGAGACTGAGGCAGCAGAAAGAGCTAGAATTCATCAGTCTGGGTTTAACAGTAAGTTTTGTCTCAAAACAAAAACAAGCTAGACACGGTGGTGTGCACATAATCCAGCGCTTGGGAGGCAGAGGCAAGCAGAATAATATAAGTTCAAGGGCATCCCGGTCTGCACAGTTGGCTAGCCAGGGCTTCATGTTAAGAGAGAGAGAGAGAGAGAGAGAGAGAAAAAGAGTGTGTGTGATGGACAGAGAGACATAGAGGCAGAGAGAGAACATGAAACAGTAAACTAATATAATGTAGCCACATCATGTGAAGCATGATATGCATTATTAATTACCTTTTTTTTTGTCATTGATAGTAAAACATTTATCTACCACCGAATAGTGTACATATAAATAAAAGCCAAAAATGTGTTCCTTTTTTATTATATACTATACTGCCTGCATATGTGTCTGCATGCCAGAAGAGGGCACCAGATCTCATTATAGATGGTTGTGAGCCATCATGTAGTTGCTGGGAATTGAACTCAGGACCTTTGGAAGAGCAGCCAGTGCTCTGAACTGCTGAGCCATCTCTCCAGACCCCACAAAAATGCATTCTTAACAGGCATATGTTACATATAAAGAGAGTTTGCGTTTTAGACATACTAGAACTGATTATTCAGTTTTGTATGATCATTATATACCAGTTCTGTATGTACAAGAAAAAGAAAGTAACTTAAATTGCTTTGACCTCTGCTGTGGAAGGCATCCTTAGGAGAGTAGGCTATAGGATCTGTTGGTATGAAACTGTTGTTGATGTGGAATTTTTCCATTGAAGAAGGAGTTGAGATTTGGAAGTTTTGGAAGGAGGTGGTTTTACACTTTTCTCACTTCCTAGAATACTCCCTGCAGCCGTAGCAGCTGATGGAGAAGGACATCTCCTCGAAGCACCCCTTTATTGTCTGGCTAAGTCTTTCTGGTTACATCTTTCTACTCCCAGTTCACTTAGGAATACATCAGTCTATGAGTCCCTTGGGATGTTTTTGGGAAGCCAGCAGGAATCCGTCTTTCCTTACATCTTGGCTCTGACAAATCTTGCTTGCTACTAAATTGCCATAGTCCCACAGCAGGCAAGATGAGAGGAACTTCAAGACATGGACCTCATGAATCCCAACACTTCATGTGGCTGCATCTTATTTTGTTTTAATATGTCTGGAGAGAAAGAAACCTTAAGTGTTTGCACCTGTTAGTTTGTCACCCGTCTTTTCCCACAGCAACTAAGAAATGGAAGTAAAAGATGTGTTGAAAAGGTCCAGAGCAATCCAGGAAAGCGAAGCCTCCACCCACATGCGCATACATGCGCGTGCGCACAGCATACATACGCACTCTAAGGCCCACTGACAGTCACTTTGTTCCTTATTTCACTGTTTGCTCTTCTTTCTTGAGTGTTGAATATGGAAGCCATGTCTACTTCATTCTAGGTAGTCTAAGCTGAAATGTTAGCACACTCCAAAATAGAATTCTCTGTGTGAAAATTGCTTTTATATATTTAGTGAGAGGGAGAGAGCATGCACCCATGTGTGGGTGAGTATTTTGGAGGCCAGAGGACAAGAGCACAGCTTGTGGGAATTGATTCTCTACCATTTGGGATCCAGGGATTAAACTGAGGTTGTTTGTGGTAAGCATCTTTACACCTGCTGAGCCATTTTACTGGTCCCAAATTGTTCTTCTTTGTCTGCCATTTTTGTAGATAAGGGGTTAAAGTTCAGACATTTCAGCAGTTCACCAAGGCTTTTGATGTTCCTGGGAAGCTGCTGGATACGTTTTCTAATATGCATTGCCTGTCCTGAGTTAAAGGTCTCTGGTTATTGGTCTCTGTAGATAGCCTTTATTATGACATTCTAATGGATTTCAAGCAGGTCACCAGAGAAGAAGCATGTCTGTGTTTCATTCTGAATCTGCTGTGACTGGACATAGAATCAGGGAGCCACAGATTGGGAACTAAGACTTCCTTGCTTGCTTCCCTGAGATGATACTTCTTTTCTTTAGATTTAATTATTTTATATGTTTGAATGTTTTGCCTGCACGTATGTGTGCCTCCATGGAGCCCACATTGAGGGCATTGGATCCCTTGGAACTCTAGCTGCAGATGGTTGTGAGCTGCCATGTAGGTGATAGGACTGTCAGTGAGACTTAGAGTGCGTATGTATGCTGTGTGCGCGCGCATGTATGCGCATGTGGGTGGAGGCTTCTCTTTCCTGGATTGCTCTGGACGATCTCAACACACCTTTTACCTTCATTTCTTAGTTGCTGTGGGAAAAGACTGGTGACAAACTAACATGTCCTCTGTATCAACAAATGCTCTGAATCAGTGAGCCATTTCTCCAGCCCCAATGATCTGTTATTTACATATATTTTTATTTTATTTTGTCTGTATAGGTGTTTAGCCTGCATACATATCTGCATGCCAGGCGTGTGTAGTACCAGCAGAGGTCAGAATTGCCTTGAATGCCGTGGAACTAGAGTTACAGATGGTTGTAAGCCACCATTTGGGTGCTAGGGATTGAACTTGGGCCAGTGCTCTTAAACACTGAGCCATCTTTCCACTCCTGAGCCAGCATTTCTGTATCTGTTCTCATGCACACAACCATGAAAAAAGTTTCTCTTTCTTTCTTTTCTTTTTTCTTTCTCTCTTTCTTTCTTTCTTTCTCCTTCCTTCCTTCCTTCCTTCCTTCCTTCCTTCCTTCCCTTTCTTCCTTCCTTCCTTCCTTCCTTCCTTCCTTCCTTCCTTCCTTCCTTTCGTTTCTTGTTACACTTTGTATGTGTGTCTGTGGACCTGACTGTGATATCAGAAGACAACCTGTGGAAGTCAGTTCTCTCCTTCCAGCGTATGGGTTCCAGGGATTAAATTCAGATTGCCAGTCTTGGGGGCAAGCTGCTGTACCCACTGAGCCCTCTTGCCACAAAAGCCACTCTCCTTTTTTTCTGTTCTTCTTTCTTCCATTCTTTCTCTCTCCTACTCCTTTTTCTTTCTTTCTTTTTTTTTTTTTTTTTTTTCTTCTTTTTCTTTTTTCTTTAGCAAGGCCTTGTTACGTAGCTGTGACTGGCTTGAAACTTCCTGTGTGGACCAGGCTGGCTTCCAACTCAAAAGAGATGTGCCTGCTTTTGCCTCCGAAGTGCTGCCATTGGAAGAGCCTTTCCTATTAGGCTCTGTTACCTAGCAATCTTAATTCCTTTGTGGGTTAGAAATCTGTCTTTTATTTCTCCACACACATTGCTGAGTCCACACCTCAGGCTTTGTAGTAGTTATTTTTCTTCCACAGCTTTTTAAGTCCTTTTGAACTTCATAGCCTTACTTAACCAAAGAGTTGATG